CCCCAAAACCCCAAAACCCCGTCAAAAAAGATCTGGAGGTCATTATCAAGCTGAAAAATTTAATAAATAAGCTTATTTTAATTATCAAATGGAATCCTTTTGTCTCAGAGGAAATGATTTTGTCTCAATTTTTGACTCTGACATGACATCCATACTATGTAGTTACCTTAATTTCGATGATATAATGGAATCAGTCATTGGAATCAATAAAGATCTTAATATTCTAATTAATTAAAAACTTGATATCGTATGGTAAAATCTATTTAAGCAAGAGTTTATGTTCAGAGATTACCCAGATCACAGAAGGTATCAGGGGGAATCTCATTTTCAATACTTTAAAAGATCCTTCCTGATCTACAAAGAAGTGAGATAAGTAATGAGAAGTATTTTCAACTTGACAAATTAATAATCAGAATAAAAGCAAGAGGGATTCATTAAGAAATTTAAAAATAGAAAAGTTCATACTTTCATTGCAGTCTAAGAAATTATGTCCTTTCAGTATGAGTGCTTTTACAAGAATTTTGAAGAAAAAAACAATTAATAGCAAAACATCATTTAGTTTTTAATTGGACAGAACTAATACTACATAATCGAAAACTTCAAGCTAACAACTACTTCATTTTATGACCACAAACTAGAGTTATGCTTGTTGTCACCATCGTCAATGAAAATGATATAGAATATTCTTAAACAAAGATATGGGTTCCATCAACTTCCATTAATGCATATTATGAACTACAGACACTCAATTATTGTAGATGCAGAAAATAAGTTTGGCATGGGTCATGGTGCTCTTATTTAACAAGGAGGCCCAGATAGATCAGTTGTAGTTTTCATGGCTCCAGATATCTTATCTTATTTAAGATAACACAACGAGAAATTGAAAAATTAGTACTTTTTCACAAGAAGAGGAATCATCGAAACATATCCTAGTTATCCTTAGTTATTAGGAGGAAGCTTAACAGTTACACATGGCATTAAGATTGAGGCAGTAGCTAATTATATTCATTTCTTCGGAGTCTTTGACAAATCTTATTACAACGATGATACTAGATATTTCTTTTCTTATTAGGTCAGAATATCAGTTGATGAGAATTATTAAGGGGAATTCTTCCCTAGTAGACTTAAATCGAGGACGTGGAAAATCTAAATGGGTGAAAGAGTTCAAGAGACAACTGGTCTTGGTGTTATTGGTGAATATCCACTAATTGAGAGTGGAATGGAACCATTTATATACGAAAGTTGTTGTCCTACCAAAGTCCTAGGCACAATTATGTAGGGTCATTTTACTTTTGAAGTATTAGATGGCCCTTAAAAAGGCTAGGAAATAACTGCCCTTATAGATCCCTTTAACCTTAGATTAGATGATGATCATTAGTTAATAGCAAATCCCTTGTTTTAATCCTGGATGCATATGTGAAAATTATATTGAATATCTTATATTTATTTCTTAAATCCCCTTTGAAAAATTTCAAGATTTAACTACTCATGGGGTTTTGGGGTTTTGGGGTTTTGGGGAGATCGGAAGAGCACACGTCTG